AGCTTACAACATGCGCTTTCCTTGCATATCTCTACCTCCTTGCTTTCTTTGTCTGCTTGTTCTTCCTAGTCTCAACAAGTGGCTTGCCATGGAGTTCTTAGCACTAACGTGCTATGCGTATCCTAACACACACACACACACACACACACACACACACACACACACACAATATCAGTCATGTGCACAATGAAAGGATTTATGCTGCAGACACTCTAGTTCCGGTCCCAGAGGCCCGAAGTGTCCCAGTCCCAGGCTGTCCCAGTAGGGTAGGCCATAGGGTCCGCAGGCTGAAGCGTCGTAGGTCGGTAGGTAGGCGTCGTCGGTCGGTAGGTAGGTGTCGTCGGTCGGTAGAAGTCCGGCCGGTACCCGACAAGAAAAGTCCACAAAAGTCCAGTCCAGTCCAACAGTCCCAAGTCCAATTTTGCAGCATGAAGTCCGGAAGCTACTGGACCAACAAAATGTTTGCAGCAGACAGGCCACGGCCAACCGGTACCGGTCTGAAGCAGGCCAAGCCAAGTCAAGTCCTATATTTAGCTGCTACAGTGCAGCGGCGCTGCTGCTGCTTGTGCGTTATGGCAAATTGGGCACCTCACGCCTGAAGGAGGAAGGGGGGCGCTTGAGAGTTACTCCGTAGCTAGGGTAGGTGAAGATAGGGAGTAGGGTGGCCATAGCCGCCAAGTGTGAAGTTTACCTGACTGGGTGTATCCAGGGTTATGATCTGAGGTTAGAAAGACAGAGAGAGTGAGGTGGAGCGTTCCAAGTCAGAGAGAAGAATAGGACCGAGGGGCAGAGAGAGAGAGAGAGAGAGAGAGAGAGAGAGAGAGAGAGAGAGAGTAGAGCCATAGCCAATGTGAGGATGCCAAGTGTGTGAGCGGCAGAGCCACTGGCAACATAAACAATTTTGTATAATAATAATAATAATCTGGTGACGGTTTCTTCAACCGTTGATTGTATCTCGGCTTTGGCTTCTCAAGTGTGAACTCTCATGTGATTGTTCATTGTATGTTTGCGATGTTCAGTCCTGTGAGAACTTGGATCATTTCAGTGGTATCGGAGCTGGCTCCCGCTGCATCCACTTGGAGTTGAGGTGCTGCCAAGGAAGAAGGCCGGCGGGTGAAAAAAAAAAAAAAAAAAAAGTATATCGGGGTTTGACTGGAGGAGGGCCGAAGAAGAAGAGGCATAGCAAGGAGCAAGAGGAGTGTGTACCTGCAAGTGAGGAGCATCATCGAAGGAGCGATTGAAGACCTAGTGAAGTGCTTCTTGCCCCGACCCTTGTCTTCATTGCAATTTGTTTTGTTGTGTATGGTACCTTCCCACGCAGTTTCTTGGAGACCTCTGCTGCAAATTAGGTAATATCTGTTCTTGCCATCTGGTTGCACTTGTATTTCGTCAATTTGGTCTGCTTGTTGACTGGTGAGTCACAGACCGATCTCTCTTGGAGGAAAGGCTCCTCCCCGTGTGGGGAAGTGGTTAGGGTTGCCGGCCTACCTGGGGGCATAGGTACCCAGTGGGACCCTCATTCATGAGAGTGAAAGCTTCATGTGTGCTGTAGGTCGGTCTAGGGTAGGAACTCGCCAGCTGGAGGTATCCCCAGACAAAGTAGGGAGCACGGGCAAGAGCGGCGGGCACTTGTAAAACAACCCGGCTATGCCCAATGACCGGTACTGACCGGCGTGCGACTGGAAGTCAACGGGACGCAGTAAGGAGTTCTAGAGGTCTGGTAGAGTGAAGTCCCCCGTGAGTCATACGGGGGGTTGCCGTACGCCTCGTCCGAACGGTCAGACAGACGGCCGTACGACTTTGCAACCGGTTCCCGTTCGAACCCGTCAGGGCCCGTTGGATGGTGGGAGGGGAGGGGGGGGGGGGGGGGGGGGGGGGGAGGGGTGTGGCACATACCCCCCCAGTATTTATTTATTTTGTTAATCAATTTTTTTTTTGGTGAAAAATAATAGAAAAAGAAAGAGAAGAAGACTGATTGATTGATTGATTATTAGATCGACTCCGATTGATTGAATAATTGATTGATCGATTGATTGATTGATTGATTGATTGGGAAAAAAAAAAGAAGGTGCTGAGTGTCTGCCCGTGCACTCTCTCTCTCTGTTACATGCAGCGCGTGCACACACGGGCCATTTTGCAGGCCCTACAGCCACTTTGAAGGCCCGACTGGATTCAGGCCAAAACCCTGGATTTCAGGCCGAAAGCCTGAAATTCAGGGCTTACAGGCCCCATTTCGGTTCAGACCAAAAGCCTGACTTTCAGGGCCTACAGCCCCTGCGACGGTTCAGACTAAAAATGGTAATAGCATTTTTAGCCTGAACCCAAGGGCCATTTTCGGTCGTTCATCAGAACGACCGGCCCTGAACTCAGGCACCGAACCAGGGTTTTGGGAACAGCCTATATTTAGACTGTTCCCACGCCTGCCTCAAGCAGGCTGCTGCACGCCAGCCCCTGGCACACTTCGGCATTGGCAAGAGCTGCCTCCTCGGCCTGCTCGCTCTCCTGCAGTCAGGAGGCAGGCCGAGTAAGTACTTAGGGACTTCCCAGGCACTTCACAGGTAGGCAGTTCGGCAGTTGTAGTCTTCAGGATTCGGGAGCAGCACTCTGGAGGGAGCGCTGCAGTGTAGGGTAGTAGCGTTAGCTTGCAGTCTTCAGCGCTGGGCGCAGTAGGTAGCTGTAGTCTCCAGCGCTGGGCGCCATAGCTAGGTAGTACTAGAGAGAGAGAGAGAGAGCTTGGGCGGAGGCCAGAGGTACCTACCTGCAGCGCCGTTGCTCCAGCTTCGTCTTCGAGGTACCCGCAGCACAGCGCCAACATCACAGGTTAGTATCTGGTTCGTACAGAGAGAGAGAGAGAGTTCTTCTTCTTCTTCTTCTCAGTCCACCATCTCTTCCATCCCTCTCACTTTTGACTTCACTGCATCTGCAGACTATGAGAGAAGAGATACAGAGCTTGGTGACATATGATCCAGACTCGACTTTCGAGGGTTCAGACATGGCAACAAGGGACTATTTGGGATTGGTGACCAAGACTTGGTGTTAACGACATTCCCATCTTCTTCCCTCCTTTCGTCTGATCCTTATCTCTTCGTCTGTGTATGTCTGGAMCTGGCGCTWTCTTCCTGTGTRCAGCGCCAGGCTCCTTCACACTTTGTGATGGATACAATGCATGTTTAGTCTGAGTTCAAACATTGATTGGGCTAGTTAGAGGTACTCTAGCATTCTGCTTCGTTACTCTGAACTACGTGAATGAGGTCAATCCTGTCAGGTCAGTCTTTGTATCAAGTCTTCCCTGCGCTCTTCAGCATCTTTATGTATGAATAAGAATGTACATTGTTTGTCGAGATTCTACTTGCGCCACATTGTCTATTCAGTCATTTTCATCACATTGCAGATTCTCGGTTTATTACGTACATTGCATATTTGTGCATGTAACAGTTGGTATCGGAGCTTTTGCACGTGAATCAGGACGATCTGATCTGACACGTGTGCGGGGATCAAAAAGCTAGTTAGTCTTTGTTGCTTGATTAGGACGTACTAGTTAGACCCCAAAATCAAGATCTTGACCTTACTACAAAAAAAAAATCGAATTTTTTTTCTTTTCTCGGATTTTATTTTCTCGCTATTCTACTGTGGAAAATCGTTATACCGCAACATCTAAAAATTCCTATTTTCGTTTTTCTTTCTGAAAAACCGAAATTTCGCTGTTGAAAATCCGGAATATGTTTCTTTTCAAAAATTTCGATTTCCCGTTGCATTTCCCGTTGCGTAGAACTTCGGAATATCTTCGTTTCTGAAATTCGTTTTTCTAAAAACGGTACAGGAAATACCTCCTGCACGTTTTTTTTTTTTTTTTTTCAAACTGCGAATATTCCCATCGGAATAAATCCGAATATTTGTAATTTCTGTTCGGACTTTTTTCGCAGTTCTTGGATCCTGTCAGTGGTTCTATAAATCGGTTATAGTCCGAAGTCGAAATTTTTTTGCTTTCAGTGATCATTTCTAACTTCAAGGGAGGTTGGGAGACCTACCGAACTTGCAAAAATCGGGATTTGTATGTTCTCAAATTTTTTTTTGCAAAGTTCAAACTTTTCTACTTTGATTAGTGGCTCCTTATCTAAGTGTGAGTTGGGCGATTATCCCACCCACCACTCCCCACCTACGTTGTTGCCATCTCTCGCCTTGCCGTTTCTGGTTGTCTTCGGGAATCCCTTGTGACGGCATTGGTAAGTTGCCACGTCAGCATGCCACGTCAGCAGACCACGTCAGCAGGACACGTCAGCAGGCTACGGAAGTACGTCAGCCAACCACGTCAGCAGGCCACGTCAGCAGGACACGTCAGCAGGACACGTCAACAGGACACGTCAGCAGGACACATCAGCATTGCCACGTCAGCAGCAAGGAATATCAGCATTGCCACATCAGCAGGCACCGGTCTGGTCTATGCTGTTGCTTTCACAGACAGCAGTCATGGACCAGAAGGCCGAGGAAACAGACGAGGCCTATCAGGCCCGCATGTTAGCCTGGAGTACCGAGACTAAGAAGCGGGCGGATGACGCTGCCGCAGCAGCAAAGAAAAGGGCAGAGGATGCCAAAAAGGCACGTCTGCTGGCGGTTGAACAACAGCGCTAGCATGACGAGGCAGCAACAAGGGCTGCCGATGAAGAGAGTACACAGCGTCGTGAGAAGATATTCACCGGAGAGCGGGCGTTACTTACCATGGCAGCAGAATGGCGAAGCGAGGCCGAGAACAGCCAGTTGCAGGACAGCGCAAACAACATAGCGCTCCTCCTCTCGCATCTCACGGATCTCCTGGCAACCTGCATTGCACAGCAGGCAGAGATCCTTGGTCTTGACAGATCGCTAGCTCACCTCCAAGACCGTTTTCAACGGTTGGAGCAGCGACCAGTCGCCGCCGCCGACACAGGCTCTTCCAATACTGTCGACCGCCTCACCGCATTGGAGATGCACGTCGGCTCCCTCTAGGATGGCGCACAGTTACAGCAGACCGCGACGCAACAGTTGCAGCAGCGGGTCTGCATTACCGCCACCACCTCGAGTTCGGAGCCGCGCGAGACAGCTCCTAAGTTCGATGGGCAGGAGATCTTCCATGAATCCATGAAGACAGATCCGATTCCATGGTTTCGCAAGTTCGAGCTCACGCTGCAGCTCCACAACGTCAACGAACTCAAGCACCACGCATACTTGTACTGTCGCTCAGGGGGCGCGTGCGAGGCTTGGTTGGACAACCTGTTGTCCAAGTACAGAGTGGTAGCTAATGACTTGCACACCAAGATCACCTGGGATGATCTGAAGGCGGCATGGCACAAGCGGTTCCAGGTGGAGCCGCCAGAGATCAAAGCCATGGACAAGCTCATGGTCTTCGAGCAAGGCACGCTGCTGAGTACGGACCGGATCGCCGAGTACCAACGCTTGACGTCAGTCCCAACATCCAGATGGGCTTCAAGGCCATCCGTCACTACTTCATCTCAAGGTCATGTCCGACATTGAGCAATGCCCTAACGCATGTCAAGGACACCTTGACGATGACGGCGGAATTATTTGACAAGGCTGCGTAGATCATCGTCACGAACAAGGAGGCCAAGAACCTCCGTTCATCTGCGTCAGGCCCGAGCAGTGACCAGCATCGGCCAAGAGTGGCCGTGGTCGCAGCGGCAGCGCCGTTAGACCAAACCAGCGAGGCTGCGTCTGCCAATGAAGGAGACAGATTCGCAGCCGCCCGGGAAGGTGGCCGCGCCGGCAGAGGCCGAGGTCGCGGCAAGCCGAAGACACACACCGTTTCTAGCCCCGGGCCCGGTGCAGCAGCTCAGACAGGCCCATGGACCCCGTATGGCATCACCGAGTCCGCCTACAAGGTGCGCGAGAGATTCAATTACTGTCCGTGGTGCAACAGCGATCTTCATCAGACGCAGGGTTGCCCACTCAAGGGCAAGGGTCGACAGGGAAACTTAGCACCGCCGAGAGTGACGCGACGACACTCTCGACGCCTTCGGAACTGGTTTCTTCGCGAGTGACCAGCCTTCATTCCGAGGCACATGCGGAAGTCGACAGTCCTCCGCTCCTGCTTTCTTTCGAGGACTATGCTGCCCGGCTCATTCCAACGCTGGGTTCTCAAGCTCAAGGACAAGGAGTGTGTGTGGTTTCTTCTCCCTCCGGCAACAGCGACATATCGTCTTCAAGTGGTTCGTCACGGGATTCGGCGCGCGAGTTTAATGTAGAGGCATTGGACCCGCTCACGTCTGGGGACTTTGCATGGCTTCCTCTCCTGACCACAGGCTCTTTGCCGGGACCGCAATGTGCAACACTCAGCGCTAAGCTTCACACTTACCTATCCTTCTATGCACCACCAACTTCGCCGACGAATGAGGAAGTCGCGGTGGGGGACATCCTGGCATATATTACCAAGGTGGCCCGCGAGTTTCACACACAGCGGTACGATGACAACAACGCACCGCTCATGTATGTCCGCATCCAGGTTGGGCAAGTGTCCTGCAGCGCTTTGCTGGATAGCGGCGCGTCTCGCAACTTCATGAGCCAGTCTTTTATGCAAAGAGCTGGCCTTGACGCACAAGTTCGGAGGAAGGCAAACCCGATGGCGATCAAGTTGGCGGATGGTAAGACGCAACAACTTCTCGACCGTTACATCGAGGCTGTACCGGTCTACTTCGCACCTCATGCATGCGAACTGGTAACATTCGATATTCTCGACACGGACTTCGACATCATTCTGGGAATGCCTTGGCTCGCAAGTGCGGATCACACGGTCAACTTCCATCGGTGGACTCTTAGCGTTCGCGACGCCTTCGGCGCAGAAGTGGCGTGTACTATTCCTCTACCGCACTCTTCAATCCGGTGCCAATTAGTGACGGCCAAATCATTCCGGGCGACTTGCGTGTACGAGCAGCCCGAGGAGATCGGCCTATGTTTCCTACGGACCGTCGCGGTAGCCGACTCTTCACCCACGGACTTGTCTTCGGACCCCGTGTGGTACGGTTGTTGGACGAGTTCGCCGACATTTTCGAGTCACCTACCGGTGTGGTGCCGGGTCGGCCGGTCTCTCACGAGATCATTCTTGAGGCCGGTGCCGTGCCGCCGAAAGGTTGCATCTATCGGATGAGCGAGGAGGAGCTTGAGGTACTCCGCGCACAACTCGACCATTTGTTGGCGAAGGGCTGGATCCGCCCAAGTAGCTCCCCATATGGAGCACCAGTTCTCTTCGTCAGGAAGAAGAACAAGGATCTACGATTGTGTATCGACTACCGCAAGCTCAACGCGCAAACCGTCAAGAATGCGGGGCCTCTTCCTCGCATCGACGATCTTCTCGAGCGGTTGGGCGGCGCGAAGTATTTTTCCAAGTTGGATTTGAAATCGGGATATCATCAAATCTCGATCCAGCCGAACGATCGCTACAAGACCGCGTTCAAGACGCGGTACGGACATTTTGAGTGGGTGGTCATGCCTTTTGGCCTCACCAACGCCCCGACGACATTCCAGGCGCCGATGACCAATGAGTTCCGTGCAATGTTGGACCGGTTCGTGCTGGTCTACTTAGACGATATTCTCGTCTACAGCCGGACATTGGAGGATCATTTTGGACATCTTCGATGAGTGTTGGAGACGCTCCGCCGTGCCAAGTACAAGGCCAACCGAGACAAGTGCGAATTTGTCTGGCAAGAGTTGGAATACTTGGGCCATTTTGTCACACCGGAGGGCATCAGTCCGCTATCGGATAAGATTCAGGCCATCCAAGAGTGGTCGGAGCCTCGGAACGTCATGGATGTCCGCTCGTTCCTCGGTCGCCGGTGCCTCGGAACGTTACGGATCGCGGCCCACTTGAACAAGCTCCAGTGCGAGGATCGACCGTTTGACTTCGGAGAGGAGGCGCGAGGATCATTCTTCGTTCTCAAAGCCGCGCTATTGTCTGCGGAGGCCTTGCGAATCTACGACCCGCTCGCGCCTACGCATGTCACTACGGATGCGTCAGGCTATGGCATTGGTGCAGTCCTCGAGCAACATGATGGTGTGAACTGGCACCCGGTCGAGTACTTCAGCAAGAAAGTGCCCCTCGTGCATTCTATTGACGATGCACGCAAGAAGGAGCTCCTCGCCTTCGTCCACACGCTCAAGCGGTAGCGGCACTTCCTCCTTGGTCGAAGCCAATTTCGCTGGGTAACGGACAACAATCCGTTGGTCTTCTACAAGACCCAAGACACCGTCAACAGCACCATCACTAGATGGATGGCTTTCATGGACAAGTTCGACTTCTTTCCCGATCACATTCCCAGGAAGTCGAACCGTTTTGCAGATGCTTTTTCACGGCGTCCGGATCACTGTACCGCGGTCTACTCAACATTCAAGATCGACGACGACCTGCGGAACAGCTTCATCCGCGGCTACCAAGCCGACCCCGATTTTCGCAACAAGTACGCGAATTGCTCCTCTCCTAATCCGGCTCCTTCTCACTACCGGATCCAAGAGGGGTACTTGCTTGTCCACACGCGAGGGAAGGACCTTCTTTGCGCACTGAGTGATCCTCACTTGCGTACACGGCTTCTTGGCGAGTTCCACGATGCTCCCGCCACTAGACATTTTGGAGTCAATCGCACGATTGGCCGACTTCGCCAGCGATTTTGGTGGCCCGGCCTTCTCGGCGACGTCACGCGCTATTGCGAGTCTTGCGAGGTTTGCCGACACTGCAAATCCCGCAACCATCGTCCGTACGGCGAGTTACGACCATTGCTAGTCCCGTTGCGGCGAAGGGAAGCGATTGCCATGGACATTACCGGCCCGTTCCCCAACCACAAGACCGGAGTGGATGGGATTCTCACGGTGGTCGACCGACTCACCAAGTTCACCATGTTTTTGCCTTGTCGCTATCATGCCAAGGCACCGGAGTTCGCCGAGGTTCTGTACGCCGGTTGGATTCGCACCAAGGGTTACCCCAAGGAGATCGTCTGCGACCGCGACACTCGGTTCATGTCCGATTTTTGGTTGGCGCTCATCAAGCGATGGGGCTCATCTCTCAAGCCCAGTTCAGCTCGCCACCCTCAGACCGATGGCCAGACGGAGAGGGCGCATCAGACCGCACAGGTTCTCCTTCGCACTCTCATCCGCCCCGACCAGAAAGATTGGGTTGAGCGACTGCCGGACGCTGAGTTGGCGTACAACTCTTCCATCCACCCGGCTATTGGGATATTGCCCTTCGAGTTCGAGCACGGCTCGCCGGTCACATCACCGTTGGACACTATCACTCCACGCACGACAGAGAGCGACGACCATCTTCTCTTCTTGCGTCGGATGCAAGAGCTTCTTGTCAAGGCACGCGACCAGATGGCTAAGACGCAGCAGCGCATGAGCCAGCAGGCAAATCGCCAGCGTCTTCCTTGTCCATTCCGCGCCGGAGACCTTGTCTGGGTTTCGGCAGCGGAATTCTTGAACAGGACATCTCTCGCAAGCTCCTTCCAAAATGGATGGGGCCTTGGCCGATCATTGAGCCCGCTGGGGACGCACCTAAAGGGCCTTCCTTCACGATTCAAGTGCCTAGCCACTTGCCTGAACATGACGACTTTCCCGGAAGACGTACGCAAGATCCACCTTCTATGGATGTTTTTCAGGAGGTCGGCGACATCATCTCCCAGCGACGCTACGGCAACAAGCCAACTGAGTATCTGGTGCATTTTGCTTACTGCACTCATCGAGCTGATCGTTGGTTGACCCGTGCAGAACTGCAAGCGACAGCTCCAGACGTTCTCGCACGCTACGAACGCAAGACGCAAGGCAAGCCAGGTTCTTCGGCTCCACGCCTCGCCCTCGTCCAGGTTCCACCTTCAGATCGACGGCTTCGCCCTCGCCCCGGCTTGACTTCATAAGGAGGGGGGGGTGTTACATGCAGTGCGTGCACACACGGGCCATTTTGCAGGCCCGACTGGATTCAGGCCAAAACCCTGGATTTCATGCCGAAAGCCTGAAATTCAGGGCTTACAGGCCCCATTTCGGTTCAGACCGAAAGCCTGACTTTCAGGGCCTACAGCCCCTGCGACGGTTCGGACTAAAAATGGTAATAGCATTTTTAGCCTGAACCCAAGGGCCATTTTTGGTCGTTCATCAGAACGACCGGCCCTGAACTCAGCCACCGAACCAGGGTTTTGGGAACAACCTATATTTAGACTGTTCCCATGCCTGCCTCAAGCAGGCTGCTGCACGCCAGCCCCTGGCACACTTCGGCATCGGCAAGAGCTGCCTCCTCGGCCTGCTCGCTCTCCTGCAGTCGGGAGGCAGGCCGAGGAAGTACTTAGGGACTTCCCAGGCACTTCATAGGTAGGCAGTTCGGTAGTTGTAGTCTTCAGGATTCGGGAGCAGCACTCTAGAGGGAGCGCTGCAGTGTAGGGTAGTAGAGTTAGCTTGTAGTCTTCAGCGTTGGGCGCAGTAGGTAGTTGTAGTCTCTAGCGCTGGGCGCCATAGCTAGGTAGCACTAGAGAGAGAGAGAGAGAGCTTGGGCGGAGGCCAGAGGTACCTACCTGCAGCGCCGTTGCTCCAGCTTCGTCTTCGAGGTACCTGCAGCACA